TGGAGGATAGTAAGTAATTATAAACATAAATCCTTTGGGGTCCTCTGGCTATTGTTTGTGGCCAGACATCTAATATCAGATTCACAGACATTTTCACTTGGTACATTTGTCCGTTCAAGTGACCATTGTCTGTAACCAGACACTTAATTTATGGTTCATAGACAATTCTTGCCTGGTTCACAGACAATTCCACTTAGCACATTAGCACAGGCTACGTGGAATTCCACTTCTTGTGCTAAGTGGAATTGTCTGTGAACCATACATGAATGGTCTGATTACAGACAATCGCTACTTGAACGGACCAATGTACTAAGTGAAATTTTTTGTGGACATGATATGAAGTGTCTGGCCACAAACAATACCCACCAAATGGGCTAATGAACTCATGTACTACGTGAAATTGTTTGTGAATGAGACATGAAATGTCTGGCCACAGGCAATAGCCACTGCAACGGGCAAATGTGCTAATTAGAGTTGTCTGTGAACGCGAAATGAAGTGTCTGGTTACAAACAAAAGATACATATTTACAGAGTCTTTGACTCTTAAGTGAAAAACAAGCATATTTACAAACAAAGTGTTCCATGACCAAAAACAAAGCATTATCATTTACAACCCAAATGTCATATACTCTCCAACATCTCAAAGCTCAATGCCAACTAATCTAAAAAAACAAGCATTACTATTTACAACTCAAATGTCAACACATTCCAACATTCCGATGTTGACTAATCTAAAAGAAACTAATTTCAAATCATCCAATTCTATAAGATTAGATGAGCTCCACCTATGACTAAATTAGTTGGCATTCTTCATAAGACCATCATCTTCAAAAGACCATCGTGTTCCCTTCGCCATGCCTTGCCAATTTCAAGGGCCAATGAGTCTGTCAAACTTGTTGATCTCATGGTTGCAAAACTCATGACATATAGAAATAACTACATAGAGATAATGATTAATAACAAAGTATTCAAACAATAGTTATTAACTTATTATAATATTACAACATCGATGTTTATTGTAATCTTGAGTGTAGAAACAACCTAGAAATCATGAACGAAGACTTAGAAAAGAAAACATCATTATATTAACTAGGGGTATTCTATTATCTAACATAATATGGGATGTCATTAACATCTCTCAGATGGAATAACTTCATGGATTAAGAGTGAAACATGTCTGAAAATTTTGATTAATCAGAAAATGTAAGCACATTGGTGTTTAATGAATTTCAGATTCTATTTTTCTTCAAATGCAAGTCTGGAGAAACTTCTTTTTTTACTTGACTTAAATAATTGACTCTTTTGAGCAACCTAATGACCACTACTTCCACTCTTCAACTGGTCAATGTCTTCACCCCACAACCCCCTTCAACACATATCATTTTCACAACTTTTCATCTTAAAAACCCATAAGTACCTTTAGGTTTCCATATTTTGTACTTGTTTGGTCGCTTGCAATTTCTGCAAAAATTTTGGACCAAGAAAAACTTAATTTAGATAATCTAAAATGTAATCGAACTGGGAGCTATAAACTGGGATAAATTTAGAGCAAGAATCGAACTTTTATTTTTGCTTAAAATTAAAGCACTAAGAGCGATTAAGTGGGATGACAATTTGCAAATTCGAACAGAAAAGTTGTATATACATAATTCCAAAATCGGATGTAAATATTAAAAACTAGGGCTTGAATTAAAGACTTACCTTTGAAATTGAAAATGGAGATGGATGGCGCACCTCTGAAATGTCTTCCTTGAATTCCATTCCATTTAATGAATTAATTAAAAAGGAAGAAAAAAAAGAAAGCCAAGAGGCGAGAGGAAGAAGACCAGAAGGAAAGGGGAAGATTGAGCGTAGTAAGGGTAGAGAAAGAGGAAAGTGGCTGGAGGGGTGAAGAAAGGTAAAACAAAAAAAATTAGGCTTTTATACCTTGTACACTTTGTGTACAATATATGTACACTTAGCATTTTCGTTAATATAATAATCCAGTTTCCGAAAAAACCCACCTAAACTATTAGAGCTAATATAAAGACACAATTCGGACATAAATTTCATTCACCATAAAGTTCCATCCAAAGCTGCACAATTTAAACTTGACTACTTGAGTGCTGTAATACGAACGAAATACATCACCTCACACACATTAAATCAGATTTGACAACAACAAAATAACCCTAAGTATAACACTGTATGGACGAGAGAGCAGAAACACACCAGCCATAGAGAACATAAGGAGGCGGGGTAGTGTTCGGCGATTATGTTGTCCAGCCTCCGGGAGTATTCTTCCTATAATATTGGACGACGACTTCTGATGTTCTGACCTCATGGAATATTATTTGAAGACTAAGATTAACGGAGGAGCAAGGATTTTGGATGGCGTAAGAAGTTGATTGAGCTTTGGTTAACGGAAAGCACAGGGAGAGACAACTGATGAAATAGAACAGTACAATGCATTCAACCTCATGTATAACTTTGTTTAGCTGTAATATGACACGAACAAAAAATTTATACCCAAAAGGGTATTAATCCTCCTTCACTATTATAATATTTTAGATTAGATAGATTAGATTCTCAACTTAAAAAGCTACGTACATTCGGAGTATCTCATAGTATAATTAATTAATTGATTTATTAAAAGTAGGAATACATCTAAAGTCTGTGCTGCCAGCCTACCACCTCCAATAATTTCGTTTAATGCAAACATGCAAATAACATTTATATAAAAATGTATCGAATAATTATTTTCTTATAAAATGTTATTTTCTTCATTCTTAAATAAATACAACAGTCTATTTTTCACGCCTGCGTATGTAAAACTTTAACCATTAACATATATTATTCTCTGTTAGAAAAATAAAATGAAAAATAAAATAGACTTTGAAAATCTATAATGACACAAATTCAACATTACGAATATGTAATAAATAATAATGTATTAATGCATTAATGAAGTAGAACATGTGAGTAGTGTATAAAATCACCTTGTTGCACTTATTTAAGAAAAAAGGAAGTATAATATTTTCATTTGTTTTCCCATTTTAACATAAGTACATCAAATTGAGTAATCTATGATCTTTCATATGACACTTATAATGTATTTGTAAAATTTTAAAATATTCTTTTTTAGGAAAAATTGATAGTAATAATCTCAACTATTGGCGGTTCGATCATAAAAATCCCAACTCTCTATTATTTCAGAATAATCCCAATTTTAGGGACCTTCCGCCAATCATGGTCCAATTTTATCGGTTATAAATAAATTCTTATAGTTTCTAAAGAGGATGCGAAGAGATATAGCCGATAATCCCTATAAATAATCCAAACTTTTAATTCTTATGCTTAATTTTTATTAAAATTCACCTGTTATAGCACGTAATATCCGGTCATGGACCATTATTGGCGGACGGTCCATATAGTTGGCATCATACAAAAATAGTCAATAGTTGGGATTATTGTTAGCGGATCAACAATAGGTGGGATTACTATTTTCAATTTTTCCTTGTTTTAATTAGATGTTTACTTTAATAGGGTTTTCCTAAGAAATTAGGGATAATTTGAGATTGCACCTCATTTTATTGTTCAAAATGGACTTTGCACCCCGTTTCATATATATTTTTTGCATCGGCCCGCTGGCCAACCCGTTTAACCCGTGGGTTAGGTGGGTTGGGTTAGGGTTGTAGAAATTCTGATCCGTCATTAAACAGGTTGGCCCAACCCAATCCACATAAACAGGGGCATAGCCAGGAGTAAGAGTTGAGTTGGTCCGGTAAAAGAATTTTTACATATAAATTTCCACACATAATTTTTTACATTAAAAATATAATCATTTTTAAAATTTGGGTTGGACCATGGCCCAGTTGGTCACCCCTCCACCTCCACCCCTACACATAAAGCATAACCCGTTATGGATTGGGGTGACCCGTTTGACAGCTCTAATAGACTAACACTATACAAGTTTAAATATGATCAAAAAATTATTTACGACTATCTTATTTTAATATTTAAAATGGAGACAAACACAAATGTGTTAATCTAACATTCTGAAAATGTATTTTTAGAAACAAATTTAGGTGAAAAATAATGACATACAGAGAGTACTACGTATAAAATTGTTTTCTTTTATTATGTACTAGCTTTCAAGCCCGTGCGATGCACGAGCAAATGTAATTTAGCTAATTTGAAATTTGATTTCTTTCAGATCATATGTAATGTGATTTAAAAGAAAAATAAACTTAATCTAATATAGAGCCTGTTTGATAATACTAAAATAAATTGAATTTACTTATTTTACTCAAATTGATTAAATTATGACTGAATGAGCTAAATGAGTGGAATCATGAAAAAAATATGTAAAATATATTCCATTTGTGAAGCCAGAAAAAGATTATATGAAAAATAGTTAAATTGATCTTCTACATAAGCATCTCGAGTAAATATAATTGCTATGAACCTGATTTTAATTGTTTAATATAATCTTATGAAGATGGATATTCATAGAAATTTAATACGGAGTATATATTAGGTAAAATAGTCTAAATATAGAGCCTGTTTTTTTAAATTGTAAGCCTAAACGTATAAACGTATACGATAACATTTAATTGTTATAATGGAATTAAAACGTATAATTCTAACACATAATTCTAAGCCTAAACGTATACTATAACATTTAATTGTTATAGAAATTAAAACGTATTGTATTTTTGGCTAAGAATACTTGTCATATATAAACTTAGCCTAAAATAGAGCCTGTTTAATATAGTACTTTCTACGAATTTTTGTTTCCATATCAATATGTAATCAAAAATAGAATTAATCTAGCTAATAAAAATAGAAGGTACAAATTAACTAAATAATTAATATATATATAATGACATGACAGGATTATGTGACGCTGTATATGCTCTTAAAAAGTTCCTCTTTTATATATATAATATATATATATATTGATTATAAAAAAATTAAAGAAACCTAAGTGCGTCCCTAATCAAGGACGTATTTGTCCAGTCATGTCAAAAGATTGGTGCGCCTAGTCATTTGGGTGGCGGAGCACGACCTAATAGAATCAAAGCACAAGAATTTTTTATTTGAAATAGGCAATGGTTTAAGGACTTCAGGTGTTTAGGGTTTTACTCAAACACAACATCCAAATTCCCAACAGATTCTTTTCATGGACCATATAGAGGATGAGTCTGAGGTGCAGAAATCCGGCGTCGCTCTTCCGACTGTTTCAGCCTACCTCGACCCAAAGTATTGGTAAGGTTAATTACTCTACAATTAACTCACATGCTGCTGAACTCATTTATCTTCCTCCATTTGCAAACTATGCATCCAACAAACCTTTAAAAAAGGAAAGAACATTGATTGTTTTATCTTTATCAGGGACAAAAGGTTTGCTCAAGAAGAACACTACGAATGGTTTAAAGATTACTCCCATTTCCGCCATCTCATTCATCAACACATCAAACCATATTCTTCTGTATTCCATTTTCTTTATCACTCCTTTCCCAAATTTGTATTTCAAGATTTGATTTTTATTGCACATTTTAACTATTATTCCAAAATCATACTGATCAGGTGTTGGAGCTGGGATGTGGGAATTCCCAAATGTGTGAAGAACTGTATAGAGATGGTATCACTGAACTCACCTGCATTGACTTGTCCCCCATCGCTGTGGAGAAGATGAAGAACAGATTACTCTCCAAGGGCTTTAAAGGTGACGAGGTTATGTTTTGCACTTGTGCTTTTTGCTTGTTGTTAGAATGGTTACTTAATGAATAGATGGGTTACTGTCCGTTTGGTGGTTTGGATTTTCTTATTGTTTGTCCTATCTGTCATTTTCTTCACCAAACGCTACATTGATATTCTAGTTTAATGATTATGGAAACAGAATGAAATTGCATTTTCGCATTCATTTTCAATGAATTAATTCCCTTTGTGGATTTATTTTTCTGATTATGATCTATATATTGTTTCAACTTTCAAATATAGACAACTTCACATTTACTCTGTTCTCTAATTCGTTAGATAATGAAAAAAATTAGTTCAGAAGTTCTTTTGGCTGAAATGCAAGGAAATGACACTTCAATTCATTCATATGTTTAAGAGCTAATGTCAATTTATTTTACAAGTCATCAAAATATCAAAACTTTCCTATTTTACTATTACCAAATGGGATCTTAGATTTAAAAATTAATAATTGGTGAAGAAGATTAAAATATGAGTGGTGTGAAATACTTATGCAGAAGAAAGATGCAAGTTCTAATATCGTCTTTTTAAAAAATAATCCCATCCCATTTCGTATTCAATCAGAAATTAAGGTGCTGGAAGCAGACATGCTAGATCTGCCATTTGATGATCAATGTTTTGATGTAGTTATAGAGAAAGGAACGATGGTTAGAATCCATAATGCTTTCAACCTTCTTTAAAAACTTTCCTGGTTTTTAGTGAACAGAGAATTTAAATGCTTTTGAATTTCAAGGATGTGCTGTTCGTGGATAGCGGTGACCCATGGAATCCACACCCCGTGACTGTTGATAGAGTCACTAAAATGCTTAAAGAAGTCCATAGAGTTCTGAAACACAATGGCATATTCATTTCCATCGCCTTTGGTCAGGTAATGGAACTCAGTCTCCGTTTGGTAGCCTTATCTGGCATTTTCCGCTTATCTGCCTGAAATGGATTTTACTAAATGCTTCTGTTTTCAAGATATTTAGTAGATTCGGTCGTTTCAGCCAAATGCTCCTTACCGAACGGAACCCAAGTCTAACTCGTGCGTTTCTTTTGGCAGCCTCATTTTAGGCGTTGCTTCTTCAACAACCCGGAGTTTACTTGGTCTGTGGAGTGGAGTACATTTGGAGAAACATTTCACTATTTTTTCTATATCTTGAAAAAGGTCAACCTGCAATTCCAAGATTTTATATTCTTTTGAGGCTCCATTTGGTACCCAGTTATCGCAAGTGCTGCTTTATTAGTAGAATAAGCAGAATAAACAGGTTTTGACGACTTTCTTATTTGGATCAATTTGATGTTACCAAATTTCTTTTCTATAGAAAGTTTAGCAGCCAAATTCAACCAATTAACCCTCACCTAACGGGCCAGTAATATATGTTTCTTATGTGCTTAACAATTCTAACATTTGCAGGGACAACAATCATCAGAGAGCTTTGAACCGTTGAAGCAAAGTGAAAAGCCATCAAAATCTCTTTATCACGAGGAACTGGATGTTGAAGACTATATATTTAGAATCAATGTTGAGGAAATGTAGAATATGCAGTTTGAACATTTGTAACCTATTTACTCTTCACTGTCTTGTTGATGCGGAACGCCGACTTTCAATGTAATATTGAAATATAAACTTCTTTTCAAGTTTTGATTATTGATCATTCTGTCACCTACTTCAAGAAAAAAAAAAACAAGCCAAGTCCATAACTAAAAAAAAGATAGAAAAAAACTAACCAAAAATCATCGCTAGAAAAACAGAAAAAAACTAACGATCAAAAATAACCAATTGTTTTCCTTGTAGTTTGAAGTTTGAACTTCTGTGATCTTTTTATTCTTTGCTTCATGATGACTTGGAAGTTGGAACACGGAAATTCAGTGACATATTTTAATCTCTAATTGGTAAAATGTCAACTTTTTCGTGTTTTGATTATTGACACCTCCTACAGTCCTACTACAAGAAGAAAATCCAATGCAAGTCCAAAATTAATGTGTTTGATTTTACGGTTGTTTAGAAGAGAGTTTGACTCTAAATATCTAAATCTATAATAAATTAACATCTAAATAATCTAAATAATATATAAGGAAATTAATTTTGAAAATTAATTCATGTGATAAAATAATGTAAAATTTGAAAATTAATAGTCAATAAATAAATTTGACTTAAAACTTCGCTCAAAAAAATTGAAAAAAGGGGATATTTAAACAATGGGATTGAAATATTACGCTAGAGGAAGGGGTTGAACCTTCGACCTTGTGGTTAACAGCCACACGCTCTAACCAACTGAGCTACTCCAGCTAGTTGTGCTAGAAATCTACGTAGCCCGTATATAAACCATTAGCGATATGTAGAAGGGGAAAAGGTATTTCGACAATGTGATGCAATATGGGCATCTAGAAAAAGAATCTTTTTTTTGCAAAGTGAAAAAGAATCTTATGTCCTGCTTTTTCAAGTTTTCATTTGCCTTTTTATCTTCCCAACTAAAATTTATCATTTTTATATTAAGAAACTATTAACACTCTTATATGACAATTTAATCATTAAATAATAAAAATAATGCATTTATAACATCACAATTATCATCAATGATCATATTATCCAAAGTATTATCATCCATCAAAACTATTTCTCAAAAATATACTATCGTATTTGAATTACTTTATTTAATTATTGTCTAAGTAATTACTCTGCATGTTTTTTAGTGGGAACCTTGAATAGAAACGAATGTAGTATTTCTTAATATCATGCTCTTGTATTCTTCTATTTGTAAATATAGTTTTTTTTAGGGAGATTAAAAATAGTTAGAATTAATACGTAGTTTAAAAATAGAAAAATGCTAGAAGTACAAACAAATTTACAAAAAAACTTACAAACAAGTTATGTGGCTATTATATTTACCTTTGATGTAAAAGTGTTGTAAAGGTGATGTGATGTGTTAAATAATGAGATGATGCCACATACCTTTTTGTAAGAGTTTTTGTAACAGTTTTTGTACTTCAAGCATAATTCTTAAAAATAATGCAAAACTTGGCGAGAATTAACTTGCAAGTAAGATATGAAAATAAATATTGTGTCATAGTTATCCGTGCAATGCATGCCTCAATTGACTAGTCTATTGATTGTGCCAAATACTTCGTAGTTAATAATATAAATTCATGCAAAAATATATCGAGAAGATATTTTACCTTAAGATATTAACGGATAAGATGAAAACTTTATAAAATCGTTATAATTTATTTCCACATTCATGAAAAAAATATCATGATAAGATGCTATGTTCGTATACTTGCAATGTTTCATAAAAAAGAATTACACCACATTCCCGGGGGCCCTGGAACCAATCAGACAGTTATCTAAGAGAATGTAATTGAACTTTGGTCACAGTTATCTACTTATCTGCTAATTTTCATGTTATTAGTAGAAGTTATAATATACGAGTACTATAATTACTTTTTTTTTTTTGTTGAAAAAAGTACTATAATTACTATAAAATAATAACAATAATGTAATAATCATTAATATTGTTTGTTTTAATTTGTTATAATCTGCTATGTATGTTACTGAAAGTGAAGAGAAGATGTGGTCATAAATTCATAATTGTATCTGATTGAAGAGATATTTTAATACGTTACCTCTCAATTCTCAAAAGACTGACTGAGCAGAGAGCACTAATTTAACAGAAAAAATATAGATTGGAGGAGGGATTGTAGAAATACAAAATTGAGGGATTGCCCCAAGCTATAATGAATGAATTACAACTTATCATACTATAATGAATGGATTACAACTTTTCAAAAAGCTTCCTATCATAAAAAATAAAAAAAATTGAACTGTATTTGTGTATGTTCCAAATCTGTTCATCTTGTTTCATTCCGAATCCTTTGTACAGACGACGGGCTTTCTTGATTCTCCACTGTACCGCCCCAATGTCTGACTCTTTCCTCAGCTTGAAGAGCCTGTGTGAGATTCTCATGGTTAGTGATACAGTTCATAACTTGACCCAACTCACTTAAATGTGACATATGGATCAAACCACATTAAAAGATCAAACCCAATCAATTAAGTACTCTAACCCAAGAACATGCAAACACATTTTCTTCTTCATAACATTTAGAACTAGGGAAACATTAGATAAAGTCTTTCAAAAAAGAACTGACAACTCCTGAAACTTATGTTTACCTCTTTCTGCCAATTTTTCCTGGCAATGATGATGTATAAGATGACAGTCTGTAGAACACTCCCACCCAACATTGCAGACCAAATGCCCTTAACACCAAGCTTAAACTTGTAACCTAGTAGTGCGCCAATCGGGAGGCCAACGACATAATAGCTTACAAGGTTAACCACCGCTACTATAAACTGCCACCCCGCACCAACAGCCACCCCTGCAATAGCACTTCTTGTCAAAACTGATAAATTTATAATTGGGTCAAAGCCACTAATTCAGGCCAAAGTATGCTACAAGATTGAATATAATGGATAAGCTAGTCTAACGTAGAGCCCTATAAGCACATATTTTTCGTTCTTTAATATTTATACGTAGGACTCTTGAAGAGAAACCATTTCTAGAAAATTTTGTAGAGTTTAAGAAAGGATCATGCTAGGAAGATATGAGAAGGAAGAATATTTAATTTAGATTCAGGTATTGATCAAAATGAAATAAAAAATACGAGTATTTATAGAAATATTCTGCATTCTTAAATCCCAAATGAGAGACCTAATAGGAAATAGAAAAAAGAAAAATAGTAAACGGAGTGAAGCCTACCTACCACAGCCAAAACCGAAAATATTATGATTATTATGATTATTGCAACAACAACAACAATCCTAATAGTTCGTACCATGGAAGACAGGTTGGATGGAGTTTAAGAAGATTGTTGCTGCTAGGAGGTAGCCTAACTTGGAGGTCTTCTCTATGACCTCTTGATTCTTTGAGAACATTCTGGGAAACTGGTGTACAGTAGCAGCTACGATGACTGTGAATACAGTTCCAAGGATTGCAGATGTCAATACATTGACCGTAATAGAGAATTTCGCAGCTTTTGGTCTCCCTGCTCCCAGTTCATTTGAAACCCTTACACTGCAGCACCCAGAAAAAAAAATTACAAAATACGAAAACTAAAACAGAAAACATGGTAAACAGAAAAAAAGATTATGTCAAATTTATGTCTTAAGAAAAAATACTGAAAACAATATGACTTTTATAGCACAGTGACTATTGGTATTATCACAATGACCGTTGATGTTCCATTTCACTATACAGTGGCACTATGTTAGAGCATCTTCAATGCTACAATGTGCACAGTGCACATGTGGCATGAGAGATAACCACATAAATATTAAAGAAAAAATTATTCCTCTCCTTATTTGAATGATTTTATACAATTTTGGTGATGATTTTTAACAATGTCAACCACAATGTCTACATCTGGACGGTCTTCTTGGTGATATATCCACATGTGTATTGTGCACATTGTAGCATTGGAGATGCTCTTAGTACCTTGCAATAAACATGTAGTCATATTTTTGTTCATAATTTTTACTTTAATAATAAAATGGGAAAAACTTTTGATAAAACTCCAAGATGGTAAAAGAATAAATATAATTGAAAATGAAATTCTATACCTAACTGATGCATTGAATCCAAGAGCAACCATCAGAGCCCAAAGTTGCAGGTTCACACTGTCATATATCAATATAATGATTAATTGGAATGCTAAAAATAATACTCCCTCCGTCCCAAAATGGTTGGCCAAATTTCCTTTTTTGGCCGTCCCAAAAAGGTTGGCCATTTCCATTTAAAGTAAGGAATATGTGGCTAAAGTTAATTCTCTTTCCTCTGCACAAATTTCAACCACACAATTTTTACTTTATTAATCCACGTGCAAGTCAACATTGGCCAACGATTTTGGGACGGAGGGAGTAATCAACAATAAATGATGCAATCTGTCTCAACTAAGAGCGTAAGTGACAGTAGGGCTGCATATTTATTATTTATAGTACATGATGATATTGTTCGATAATCAATACCGTAATGTGCAACTCACCAGATTGAGACGGAGTCCACAGCAACAGCGGCATTCTCAAGACCTCCAACCATAAGAATCACAGCAGTGAAATACCACAGCTCCAAACTGCACTCACCATACCGATATTACATTAGAAGTTGATATAGCTCAGAATTAGGTTTGGGTCACTGAACTAGGCCATCAGGCACTTTGGGCGGACACTAGACTGATTTTTAGGCAGTTCAACTCAAAGGTCTTATTCAACCAACATTCTCTCTTCAATTTTCTGATATGTGATTCCACCAGTAGTTGTTCAAGTAGCTCACGTAAAAAATTTAGTCACATGTAACTATTAAAGTTGAGAATCATGCTTGAGCTCTTATATGCCGTTGGGTTTATTTAATTAAAACTTAAAAGAGACGATATTATTGAATCGGGGAAGTAATTCAAACTTAAATATATGACTCACCATAGCATTGCAGCTGAGGATAATGACAGCTTCAAAAAATTGAACAGAGACTTAAACGCCAGACAAGAAAATCCAGTCCAAGAATCAGGAAAACGCCCTGAAATAATATAAATGGTCTGGCCAATGATCAAAATCCACCAAGATATATTTCCAGCAATTGCAGCCCCGAGCAAGCCATGTCCCATCTTCATCACAAGGGCCCAAGTCATAAGGGAATGAAGTGCCAGTGTAGCAAGAGACATTGCAGCTATGACCCATACTTTAGACTGGGATTGGAGGAACTTCTGTATAGGGAAGTTGAATGCATATGCAAAGAGCTGAGGAATCACCCAAATTGCATATTTGCCAGCAACATGAGATATGTGATTGTCTTGACGTAGGAGCTTTAGTATGGGTGAAGTGAAGATGTAAACTGGGGTTAGTAACAAAGCAGTGATTCCAGTGATGATCCATGACCTCTGTAGATAAATTCCCAACATGTTGAACTCTGAAGCTCCTACAGCTTGGCCACAGAGAGTCTCAAGAGCACTGCCCATTCCTAACTATAACAAGAATCACATATGAATATTGTTGTTAGAGGCATATAATCAAGGTGGAAAGGTTGTTAAAGTATCTCACTTTATGAAATTCTCAACCATCATATATGGGTTTGTTTGGTTTAGGGATTTTGGAGGCAATGATTAATTTTTCTATTACTAATTATCTTTATTTGTTAGTTTTAGACTAGAAATAAGTACATGTACGGTGAGATCGTGTGGTTCTATATACTCCCTCTTTCCTATACAAACTCTTTTTGTTAGTTTTAGCCAATTCCTTTTTGGCCCAGAATAATATTGTTTTAGAAATACAACACGAGTTTTGTACTAACCACCCAAATTTACCCATATTAACACTTTTTTTCTTTCAAAAACTTAGATGTTTTTAATGTTAAACTTTAATAGGGATAAAAGAGTCTTTTTGCAACGTTCCTTCACATGTCTGCAGTTTTCTAAAACCTCAATGACTTTGTGACATAGGGAGTATTTCTTTTCTTAACTTTATCTCCAACCATCTAAATACGTAGAAGTAATTTGATAAATAAATAACCTTTCCTCTTCTCTTCCCTTCCCTAGTTCCCTTTCATTGAAAATACTGAAACCAAACAATCCCTAAGACGATAAACTTCATTACCTTATTTCTTGGACTTTAAGATTGAGATGCATACTTGAGCTTTTATATGTTATTGGGGATATATCATATACGCAATTGCTAACCCAGAAATTGAAGCCAATAGTAAATGTGTAGACTTCATAACCACGCATGAAAGGTGGTAAACTATTGCACTATTCCAAAAGTACTCATATTTTACCTTATTAATTACATTTTAACGTTGAGCACACCAATTTTGAAATCAATTTGCCATTTTTTTATATTCAATTTGATTATTCATTTATTTGGTGGTTTGAATTTAGATGAAAATGTGGCTGTGTCATAAAGCTAGACGAAAATGGTATGGTTTAACTACAGTGAAATAATAAAAGGAAATTATTGATATTTAGTTATAGCTATTACTTACCATGATACCATAGACGAAACCTTCAACGACATTCTGAACTTCAGAGACGGCCGCAAGCTCAACATGCCCGATTTGACCGACGAAGGCGGAGGTGACGAACCCGAAAGAGAACTGCGAAACGGCAGTAATGATGGCCGGTCCGGCTATATGCCACACGGCCTTTGATTCTTCCCTCCATTTACGGCCAGCCTTCCTCCGCGATTGAGCATCATTTACCTTTCTGCCGTCAATCTCGCCGGAAACCTGTTCTAATTCCATTTCTTCTCCTCGTTTTAGTGTGCCGGAAACTGGAGTTACTTTTCAAACGTTCTCTCCTCTCTGACTGTCCGAGACGAGTATTAAATAGCTTAGCTTTGGTCAAATAAAATACGCAACAGACTGGAGATATTCTTGTTGAGTTTGTTACTGCATATAATGGGTCGGGTCGGGTCGGATAGAGCTCAGCCGACACCCGGTTATCCGATTAATTTATCATCCATCATTAACCTATATACTCCACTCAATCAATTTGATCCCCGTACTATTAAAAATTATTGTCAATTTTGTTTTTGTAGAAAAAGTCAATTAAGTTCTCATACTTTTAAAAATATCAGTCAAATCCTCGAACTTTGTAAAACGTTCAATTGAGTTTTTTTTTTTGACAGCAACGTTCAATTGAGTTCATTTGCAGGTTATATGTCATGCCAGCAGACCACCCGCTAACGTGACACACATGTGACAGCCCAATAAGCAATAATTTTTCTGGCGTGGCACACACGTGGAGGTCTAGTCATCCATTTGATGATGACGTGGCGCACACATGGACCGTCATGCGTGTGCCACGTCAGTGGGTGACCTGCAGACTTGGCAAGTAACCTCCAATTGTACTCAATTGAACATTTTTTACAAAGTTCGAGAATTTGATTGATTTTTTTAAAAGTACGAAGACCTAATTGATTTTTTCATGAAAGTACGATGACTAAATTGACAGTTCCATTTATCATCCATCATTAAAATATATACTCCACTCAGTATTTTTTTACGTGTATTATTACAAGTCATTCGATACCACTTAAATTTGCCGATTCGATTGAATTAACAAAATAAAGAAACATAACAAGTCCTTGTCAACTCAACAATAAGGTCGTCTCCTAGGCACGTCCTAGGGTTTTTTCCGGCGGCGGCCTATCCAGGCCGTGGGTTCGGCTGATCTCTCCCCGGTAGGCAACTTATCTCATATATCTTCTCAGGGTATTGGGTTTTGTTGTCATCGCGGGGTTTGTTTTGTTCGTTTTTGTTTTCTTTCTGACTTGCAAGCGCGGTGAATATGGATTTTGTCTGGACGAAGCTTTTGGTTTTTCTGCTTTACAAGAGCAGCGGACAAGCGACGAAGCTGGTTTTGGCAGGGGACAGGTTTAGCAAGGGGCCGATGGGGTGTTGCAGAATGTTGAAGACAAAGCCGAGCTGTTACTCTTCAACAGTTTGGGAACGAGTTTTGATGAAACAGATGGCTATTGGTGAAAGCATGGAGTTTCTGGTGGTCGACATCGTGCTGTGGGACTGGAAAATCAAATTTCGGGGGTTCATTGGTGGCCTATGTGTGACAGAAGACGAAGGGATGTTGATCCGCCCACCTCCAGAACCGCCACCTTGGAGGAGTTCTGCGACTAGGTTTGGACGAATATTTCTATTTCTGCTGAGTCGATTGTGTTTTGTTTTTATTTAATTTCTTCCTAAATAGAATTTATTTATTTCTAACTAGAGAATTTGTATGCTTTTAGTAGAATTAAATAACTCTTATTTTGAAAATAAAACATACCTATTTTCAATTTTGCATTATGCTTATCTTTTAGTCCATAGTCCATATGGAACAAATTCTTTTTTAACCCCAAATTTATTATAAAAAATTACGTAGTGTGATGATTCACGGTGTAAACACGTAGTGCTAATCATGCAAATACACGGAATTTCGAATTACCAACCAATATGTATGTGTATGGTAGATTAAGAGATGGATAAAATCATAAAATGCTTAAATGCATACATATGCAGACATTAGATAAATTATTCATATGAAACTGAGAGGTCGTTTGACAACATTGTTTTTCGGCTTATCAGGCTTATCAGCTAACTTTTTCATCAAACACGCAACTTTTGTTTTCTTGCGCTGAATTGTATAATAAGCAGAAAAAGTAAGGTTGAATTTACTTTTATGGCTGTATTGGCTGAAGTTACGTAGATGATGATTTTAGCTATTTTACATATAATTTTTTCTTTATTTTATTAATAGAATATATTTTTAAATAAATTTTTATTATATCAGCAGAATCGGCCAATGCAGTCACTTCAGCCAGAACTTCATAAGTTTCAGCAGAATCAGTCAAATCAGTCGATTTTCGTGGTACCAAATGGGCTCTCAACTTCATGTACTAATACCACTATTATATACTTCCTCCATTGTTTTGTAAATTGTTGAAGCATGTGTCCCACACCGGAAAGCTATAAAACAATTAAACACTATATAAGGCTTTGGGCTACTCCTCCTATAAAGTTGACCTTTTAGGATGGAACCTCGGGCCTTAACATGATATCAGAGCCAATTCCGATTGTGGTTTGTTTGGCCCGTTTATACGTCCCGATATTGTCCAGCCCGGTTCGGGCTGAGGGGGCGTGTTGAAGCATTTGTTCCACACCAGAAAGCTATAAAACAATTAAACACTATATAAAGCTTTGGGCTACTCCTCCTATAAGGTTGACCTTTTAGGATGGAACCCCGGGTCTTAACATAAATGGTCAACTTTTCAATTTAAAAGTTTTTTTTTTTAATTTAATTTACAATACATTAACAAATAAAATATAGTTAAAGTAGAATATGTGAATACTACAAAAAGTCAGATATTGTAATTAAAAGAGAACGGAGTAGGTTTTATCAATTCGAGTCAAAACATTTTACCACAAGGAACCGGCTTATTATCATTCAAACTTTGAAGTAGATAAATTTTGATATTACGGAGCAGTGGAGGACCTGGGGGGCTAGGTGGGGCATGTGCCCCGCTTCAAGCCCAGAATTTCAGTAGTAGTACTTAGGATAAAAACGGGTGTCCCGGTTTCATACCAGTATTTGATAATTAAGATACTAAAATGTTACGGTTATATAAATAAAAAATTAATACAAAATATTTATATTTTAGTTGAATTAAAATAAAAAATATAGAATTATCAAAAAATAAAAAAATAATTAATAGTTGAAAACAAAAAGTAACAAAAAAAGTTAAAATGCAAAAAAGTAGCCAATGTGCGGGCAACTAAAAGTACGGAGTATTAAAAGTCTAAAAACCCCTTAGCAAAAAAAAAAAGTCTAAAAACTCACTAAGACTATGTTTGACACACAAAGTCTCTAGCTTTTAACTTCTCTACTATTTAGAAAGACCTTAAAAGACTCTAGTTGTGTGTTTGGCCCAATAATTTTTTTTAGAAGTCTAGGTCTTTTATGCGATGCTACTTGGGGAAGCGTTTAAAAATAAAAGGTCTTTTCCGTTTTCGATTTCGGCTATGTTTGGCACACAAAAGCCTCTAGCTTCTAGCTTCTCTATCATTTAAAAATACCTTAAAAGACTCTAGTTGTGTGTTTGGCCCAATATTTTTTTAGAAAACTAGGTCTTTTATGAGATGCTACTTGGGGAAGCGTTTAAAAATAAAAGGTCTTTTCCATTTCCGATTTCGTCGTATGGAAGACTAGAATGATAAAAGCCGAAGTTCTCCAATTTATGAGAGTCAAAGCTACTGAACCTTGCGGAGTTATATTCATGCGATTTTCATTTATTGATCGAATGGAGCGAAAGAGCAACTCCAGGTGTGGATATATGTAATGAGAACAAATGAGTTATTTTATGCCGTACAAAAACTATTGGTGAACTTTGTAAGAAGATGGTTGAGCTTAAAGTTCACAATTCTTTTCACTAGGTATATCGTCTTATTGAGTTTACTTTAGTGTTACCAGTTGCAACGGCCACCGTTGAAAGAGTCTTCTCTGCGATGAATATTAGCAAGAAGATCTCAGCAATAAGATGAGAGATATGGACTATCTTACGGATTGCTTGGTGTGCTACATCGAGAGATGTTTTTAGAAGCATCGATAATGAAACTATTATGCAACATTTTCAGAATATGAAAACTCGTAGGCTCGATTTACCAAAGTTGCAGCAGTGAACTATTTAATTTTTAATTAACTATTTTGTATAATTTAATACTTTTTTTTACCATTTTTATTACATTTGGAGTTTTTATTATAGACTAACTTTGGTGTCTAGTGTGCTCATGCTCTCACAAATCTCTGGGTCCGCCACTGTTAGGGAGTACATGTTTTCCTAATTTTGAAGAACATTTTCATGCACTCGGGCATGAATTTACACAAATCTATCATCTGAAAGTCTGAAACTTAACTTGCGTATTTGATTTGGACCCATATATGCAAAAATAACTGACTTTAATACAATACTAATAGTAATATAATGAAGATTGATTTATACAAGTTTCGTTCACTCTTAACTTTAACAATTATGATTGCGTTTTCAAATTTATCTACTAATCAACTCGCTATATATCCGCTTTGAATCTATAATACATACGATAGTATATAAAATTAATCAAATATGGAGTATTATATTATTGTATAACTCAACTTATTTTCACCTAAAACACATTATAAATTGATTCAAACACAAATTGAATATTGTCTTAGAATAATACTCCCCCGTCCCGGAAACAAATTCCCATTTTCCTTATTTGGATGTCCCAAAATAAACTTCTAACTTTCTTATTTGGCAAATTAATCCACATCAAAATAGTGCTAAACAGTGTCGAATAGTGTAAAACAGTGTCAAACAATGTCGAAACAATGTCTAAACAGTAAAATTTACCCCTCAATAACTTTATTTCTTTGAGATGTGTGAAGTTCAACCTGGGAACTTGTTTCCGGGACAAAGGTAGTATTATACATGTTACTTTCCAAAAACTTATCATATCTACTTCAAGTAATAACTATATGATTAAAGTTACTTCCCACTTTCTTACACAAATCACAAAAGTCTCAACCACTAGATATTTATATTAATATTACATATGCAAGTCACCTTTTATCCGTCGGGTTACACGCCGATCAAATTGTACACGCCACCTTTTACACGTCGGGTTACACGCTGGTCAAATTGTTCGTGTACGGAAAATTTGACTGGATCACATACATTTAAAGTACTCGTTTAAAATTGTCTGTATCACAGACATTTTATGAAAAATTCTCGCCTAAAATGTCTGTGATACAAACAATTTTTGTTGTTGTGGAAATCAATTTTCTTCATAAAACACCAGTCAAATTATTTGTGTAATTTGA